ATCTGGCATAGGGGTTGTCAGATGAGTCGTGGCTGTACAATTGCACGCTTTTGATGACGTAATTTTACCGTTATGAATGAAGTCGCCAAGCCTCGATATCGCCCAAAGGGCGGTTCCCCTTAGGACGGAAATTCCGACCCGAAATGCAACATATGACAGATATTATCAAAATAATGTTAAACTATAACCAAGATGCTTAATTCTTGCATATCAGACTGGCGTTTCCGTCAGTTTTACATATGCCGGAAATTTCACCATCTTGCATGGGGGGGGGGGGGGGGGGGGGTCCAGATAAGTTGCGTGCTGTACAATGGCACGCTGAGGATCCCGTAATATTACCGTAATGAATGAAGTGGTACTTTCATACGCTGTTGTAGGAAAAAAGTAACAGGTGTAATGATATAAATTTCCATGGAAAATTGTTTTATTAAGGTAAAGACTTTAAAATATTATTACCTATATTATATTTAAGATATTATTATTCGTCATATATACTGATTGCTCTTCTAAAGTTATGCACATGTCACGATAATTAACTATTTACTTACTTACTTATATGTGCCACAATGTGGTTTATTTATTTATAAAAAAGTGCTGTGTTACAGAAGACTAGAATCTATAATTCATGAAATTAACCAATAAGATATATGAGGTTCATTTTAGACATACGATTTCAAATAGACATTGTTTTCATTTTATACTTTTAACATATTATTTTAGTAATTTAGTTGAAGGTGGTTTTCATTACAAACATAACACAAATATTTTCTTAGTAACGATTATAACCATAGCAATTGAACTATAAAAGTCATTGTATGTATGCATTGAGATTTACTTTTAACATATAATTTAAGTAATTTCGTCGAAACCTTTCATTACATACACGTATTAGTACGATTATAAATTTGGCAACTGATTTGTTGTATGTATCTATTGAGTTCGAACATTTTCTGTCATATTCCGATGAAATTTACCCAACAAATAAAAACTTATTACAATACAATACAATACAGTTTATTCCGCTTTAAACTTACAAAGTTTATAGCAATAACAACAACATAAATACATGAGAAATGGTTTACACAGGGTATATGAATACTGTTGGAAATTTACAATTACAATAATTGGACTTTGATAGAACTTGAGTGTTACTGTTCAAATAGCTTAGTTCCTGATTTTGATACGGAAAGTATTGTATGCATTGTATACGTAAACTGTACAATATGTTTATAGCACATAACATTAAACAGCCATATATACTTTATATGCATGTTTAATAAAATAGCCTGTAAAGAAAGTAATTGTTTCGAATTCATCCGAAGCAGTTGTTTTGAACATTAGTCTTAGCCGCATTTCTTCGATAATAAGTCTATTGGAATCACCTAAAGTGCACTGTCGAACTTGCGAAGTCATTCTGCTTAATATTTACTTTCAATTGACAATTTGTGATACTTGTTTATCACGTGATTGTGTAGTGTTCATTTTGTAAGTGAAATAAAAGAAAACGACGAAGATATTCAGCTATTTGGCTTAGTAGAAGTAGTGTTTAAAACAAATGTACAAAATGCAATAGCTAGAATGGTCAGACAATTTTACATTCATAAACAACGCTTAATATGGATGACTTTTTGTCATAATATACGCATAAATGAACAGAAAGCGCCATATTAAACATATTACGTCTCTAATAAATTTATTTTTCTAGATAATTTGTGTAACATACTATGACCGAATTTCATTATAACGACCTCCACATTCCTGATATCAATTTGCATTTAGTGTTGAGAAATGAAGTTAACGGTTGACAGAAGAATAATTAATGTTTTCTTCAGATGATTCTGATTCTCAGAATATTAATCACTCCTCGGGGAAATTATCTTACTTATTAACGGAATGACGGAATTTGTTTCAGGGATTTTAGTCGATAGCGTTCTGTGAACAACAAACTTGGCATAAAAATAGGTATATCTTCGTCTTAACGTGCAAAGTAATATGTGAAAACATGATAAGCTTAACAATGTTGAAAATGCTTTTATATAATTGCATTATTATTATTGTTAAATATACATTACATATGTGGGTTTTAAAGGCTGGTATTTGTATACTTACTAGTACTTCTAATTCAATAATGTTAATAATAGTTGTATTGTGTGTAATATTTGCCAAGCATGACATTCCCGTGTTTTACAGGTTTTAATGCCGAATTAAATAAACTACATGTATCAGCCCTACGCATTATTTAAAGATTCCCAGTTTCCCCTCAAATTTCCTATCTCTGGCCAGTCATGAACATTTTATTATAATTACTTGGTTTGTCACGGTATCACTGATAGTAGCACCCTTGAATGTTTTATGATCCTATCATGTTTCAAGAATACATAGTTTAAGCTGGAGGATGTAGTCAACATTTTAGATATAACGAAAACTAAGACAAATGACCATAAGACTCAATGTTTGGGACCAATTGTCCACGTCCGAGAATCAAACCAGTGACCCGCGGATTACTAATCCGATGAGCGGGCGGACTAAATATGACATACGCATGTGGCATGTGGCACTTCAATCATCGGCCGATGTCCTATGATTTCTCAATGACGTGCACGTACCAGTCTTGAAATAACAGGAAGGGGACTCGTTTAAATACTGTTATTTTAAAATAAGTACATTTTTTGTATTTTTTTTTTATAAACATATACATCAAAACATTTTATAATTATAAGATGTGTGTACTTTATATTGACAATCACTTCAATACTTTACAGTTTTAGCGCTTAGTCATTTCAAATAACAGTAAATTGTGATATAATCCCATCCATTTAATAAATAAAAATGAAATAGAGAAAATAAGGTTAAAGAAGTCTAAAACGGCAAAAATTGAAAATGTTCAGGCATAGTTTGATTGAATCTGTTCATGGAAGGTAGTGTCAAGAGCAAGCTACCGTTCCGCGCAAACCTTCATACATTATCTAATTCTTAAAGAAGAATAATTTCAGTTATGGTCCAGAAATATTTCCCTATTGGAAAATATACTAGCGAAAATAGTAAAAAAATAATTACTTTAAATTTTCCTTAACAAGGGCAAATTAACTATTCGTACTTTGATAACATACTTCTAACAACAATAATTCAAGTATATACACTGAGCAATACGTATACCTTGACATACTCTCCTGCGCATCGGTCGAATGTTCCACTATCGCTCACTTCTGTGTATTCAGTGAGCTGCGAAGGGAGCGTAACCTTGAGAGTCACTTCAGCCTATTAAGTAAAATCAACAGGGACACGATGCTTCAGATGTTAAGGCTGAAAACATGAGCAAACATAGCACTTATCTTCTGTGTCTCATTCCTCTGATAAGTTAATAGATACGTTGTAGGGTTATTTTTAGTTTCAACTTTCTAGTTGGTTGGTTCCAATATTCCTACTTAAATAATGTTGAATCACCCTAAGGATATGTTGCCTGCTTTTTAAATTTGTCTTTTGACGTCTTATCTGTGATATGCAGGCTTAATTACCTCTGATCCCCTTTCAAAATTCCATTTTAATTAGTTCCGCCCTGTGATTTCTCGTTTAGGGCTCACGCTTTTTATTACTTGGGGACCATACGCCACTTGTAATGGAATGACACGGAAGTGTCACATTGAAGGTTCCATAATAACCGCCGTACACATCTGCGGATGTTTCTAAATTCAAATTTTTACTACTTCATGTTTAAATGTTGAATTCTGCTTAAGCCGGTGCTAGGGGCGTGGATGGTAACTTCCACTTTCCAGTACCGTCCATGAACAGGCTCAATCAAACCGAGCCTGCAACATTTTCAATTTTGTCGTGTTGGTCTTTCTTTAGGGATTCTGTATTTATCTATTTTATGTGACTACTTGTATTCTAGTAGGACCAGGCTGAGGGCTTAATTCATGTTTCTGTTAAAACCCTGGTTGGGAAATTAAATGTCTCTAAATGTGACCAATTGGTCAAAGCTACAGTATTACATCCGGAAGGGTATAGCTTGCCCGCGGGTTATCCTTACTCTGCCGGAACGTCCGCGGTTACCGGGAACCTCTGGATGGAATAAAATATTTAATATCACCTGGGTGGTCCGGGATGATCCGGAAAGGTATAGCTTTGCCCGCTTTATCCTTAGCTCTGCCGGGAACGTCCGCGGTTATACCGAGGAAGCACCGTAGCTCTGCCGGCACAAACCAGGGATGATCCGGGGTATGTATAGCCGGTAGCGCTACGGTAGAGCTACGGTAGAGCTACGGTAGAGCCCCGGTAGATGCCGGCAGAGCCCCGGTAACTAAAGGCAGAGCCCCGGAGGATAAAGGTAGAGCTATGGTTGATACCGGTAGAGCCCCGGCAAAGCCCGGTTCATTTCAAAAGAATAACGACAATTTGCGATGATTGCACTTGTTTGTATTAAACCCCTTCCCCTTTCCCTTCTATCCAGTCGGCATAAGGATTTTTAAGAAAATCATACTTTTCTGGAACAATAGATATTATATTAAATAAAAATTATGTATCAATGTTATCATTTTCGGCAATTTTAAATCAACCGGGGTTCTACCGGGGCTCTGCCTGGATCGTCCTGGGCTTTGCCGGGGCTCTGCCTGGGTCAACCGGGACTCTTCCGGCGTCATCCGGGAACAACCGGGGGAGCACCGGCATGAACCGTAGCTTCACCTGGGCTCTGCCTGGATGATCCGGAGCGCATTCTGGGTGGTTAGTTGGGAGCTACCGTTGTGCTGCCGGGGTGTGACCGCAACAATAATTTCACCCCGGATCGTACCGGATCATCCCGGTAACTAACCGGAATGGTCCTGGGCTCTGCCGGGAGTAAGTGAGACTGCAGCTTAAGTCACATTAAGTAATGTTATATATTCTTTCATGGCCCTTATTTGATCATCTACGTTGTTATCGATAATTATATCTATTTCAACCTGTAAACCCTTTAACAAATAAATGCACATTGTATTGAAATATGGTCGAAATAATAGAAGTAATGACATTGAAAACTTTTCTTTATTAATGATAATATATCCTGCTTAAAAAATCCGATTTTATTTAATCAAGGCCGATGAAATAGTTGAACGTAGTTGATGCATTACTAGATAATGTTCTGTCAAATAACCATGCAGGACTCTCGTCGTATCCAAATAGCAAACAGTCTTCTCTGACAAAGATTTTCAATCGTTCTAAATCTCTCAAAGGAACAGTAGAATATGCATGTACCATCGCCTCATATTTTTGAGCTTTAACTGCTGTAGTATTATACACATCCGACATTTGTTTAGCTTTTTCTAGTTCCTGTTTGAATTGATGGAAATTAAAAGTCATATTCTTGGAAAACGGCATGTCAATATGTTTTGATATGACTGCTGTTATTTGGTAGTACCTCCACGCCCTTTGGTAAAGGTTAAATATCTCAATATGTGATCCATTAATCTTTTTCAGGGTGGAGTAAAAATGATTCATTGCTGAAAATAGATTTGTCTGTTTTCCTAGATCTTTCCGAGATTTCTTAATGATATTTCTTTTGCTCCATTCATTTTTAAGATAAGCAAAGTCTGATGACATTGTTTCTAATTTACCAATAAAATCAAATTCATATCTACAAGGATTGCAATTGCCGGCCATTGGTCTGATATGTTCGTCCATATTGTGACCAACTTCAAATTCTTCCACAATGTATCGTATAAACTCAGAAAACTTTACATCGTGGCCGAATTCAAGACTATCTTTTGATGGATTCTCTCTAAACTTTCTTGTGATAGTAGTACCTATTGGATGCCAATATCCTTTTGGGAGATAAAACTTATTTGAATATGTAGAAAATAATCGACCATATGGTTCTCTCACAAAGAGAAACTTGTAAGATTTTCTTATTTCGATTTTTTTCTTTTCATACGGCAACACCCAGATTCTTTTGGAAGAATTTACTAAACAATTATAATCACAATGAAATATTTGGTTAAGAGTGTTCAGCGTATACGTGGATCCTGCTTTACTTACTCGGCAATATAGTATTGATTGGTTAGGCGTCGTTAATAACCTTAATATATCTTTACTTAAATTCCCATGCATATATCTTTCATTTTTATCTAGGTTTCGAACTGACGAGTAACACTGCTGTTTTAGAAATTTCATTCTTTTCGTATTTCTTGCTTGTATTTCTTCAAAATTGTATACCTACAAACAAAAGAAACACACTCATTTTGTCATCTACATCGCCATAATAAAATAATTGAATGAAGAACTACTCATCGTAGTTTGTAGCTTTTGCACATTGATAATGCATCAAATAAGCGTGAAGTATGTATAATACGTAATTTAGGAATACATTGTAAATGAAAGTATACAAACAATATTCTTATTGTCACTTAATACCAAAGGTTAGCGACGCATTTGTAATAAGAGGTTCACGCACAAACAACGTGTGTCAATGTAGAACACCTTGTAAAGTGTAACCAAGAAAATTTCAGCATTTGTATCGTAAATCTAGCCTTGTTTTATTTTATTTCCAGTCTTAAACGCGAATATTAAATTCAGACTATATACTCGTAGTATAAAGGTTCTGTCAAAAATATTTTGTTGTGAAATAAATTGTCATTTTCCATTGTTGAGTCTTTTTACTCGTACGCAGATGAAAACGTTATATAAGACTTGGCAAGTGCCTTGTCCAATATTGTTTTGACAGTTTGGCAATATGTTTGCTTGTCTTTTCATAAGATTTTCTTACCTGTTGGTAAACTGATGCCATGTTGTGTTTCGGACTTGGAGACATGCGAGTGTAACTGATTTCACCATCATTGAAGGAAACTGAGATTAGAAATTAAATTCACAGTAATTGTTATACTACACCTATCTCTGTAGATGCAACAAAAGACGGGAATCATGTATACTAATGTATACTAATTTCAGAGATGTATTATTATGAGGTAGTATTGCACCAAAACTAAAAATTCTTCCCCTTGTCAATAAACAACATTTTAGGGAATTCCATGAATATAGCCAATAATGTTCCATTGATTATGCAATCTATACTCAATAAACAATGTCAAAAAAAAAAGAAAAAAAAGAAGAAGAAAACAACAAAAAACAAGAAAACAAACAAACAAACAAACCAAAAAAAAAACAACAATAAAAAGTAATAAATAAATTAATCTACAAATAACAACATAATTAAGGGTAATAATTTAAGGGTAATTTCTGTAAGCATTCCGTCGATTAAAATTATTAGTAACTGTATAAATTCCTCCTTTAATGTTTCACTGTCAAAGGAAAAATCGAAAGAACTTATCGATAAAAACTTAAAAAAATTAACTGTACATAATTATCACCGAATTTATCTACTTGTTGCTAAATTTATGAAAAGAAAACATGTAATGCACAATTCATTAAAGTTATAACGATGAACTGTATACACTATGCTGACACGATGAAGAAATTAGCAACGAAAACATTAAATACATGTACTATCATGACGTTAAACAATACATTTGTTATACCACCTGACCGACATAAATGATGAGTATTTGTTTTGAAAATGCTTCGAATTTAATTGCAATCAAATGAAGAACCACTAATTATAAAAAAAATTATACATACCATATTCAATATAATAGTGTGTGGATACAACCAACACCAACATAACGAGGACAAACCTTATTCGGTATGTCCCATTTAGAACTCCATTTTCAAAATTCATTTTCAAACAATATGTTTCGTGAAATAAAGTGAACTGCTGCCTTCAACCTATAAAGACAATAGGATCGTTTTTTTTAATGACAATACATTGAAGTATAAATTAATTTGGTAGAAACACTAAAATATTAGTGTAATTCCGATAAATTTGAGGCGATTTTTCCTTTTTTATATATTCAAATAAACAGATAAAAAACACGATGAATGGTTTCATCATACAGTATTGTTTAAATTACAGGAACCCGATATTCGATTTTATCAGAATTGGAGACATTCCCATTGAAAATGTGTCTGAGTCAAATCGTATACCTACCTTTAGACAAACAGTGCGTTAACTTGAGTGCAGGTATTAGTTACCGCAACCCAGTTACCGCATTGTCTGACGGGGATAAAATAGGGCATACTCGTTGATTGGCTCATTTTTATGGGGTTTACTTATTGTGTAGGGAAAAAGATAACGACCAGATGCTCGTACATTGGTTTTCTTTTCTGGGGTTTCATATTGTGACAACAGAGAACGTGTTTCAATTTTTTGCATATGATACAAAAGCGAAAGAACATAAAAACGCTCTGCAATCTGGTTTATCCTCGTACAAATCAGATATCCTCGTGTTTTGATGCTTTTTTCTATTATTAACCCTATATTATATTCATTTATTATTTTACGTTTCATAGAATGTAAACCAATGAGGTCCCAGCCCTTGCGTAAGATCTTTCGACTTAATCATATTTAATGGATCTTTTCTTATCAATTTGATCTCGTTTCCATTTTCACAGTTCAACAATTGATATATTATATATACTGTACAACATCTAGCTTTATTTTGGCTTTAAGAATTTAATTTCCATATTATTCTCAATCTAGCATCGTTTACTTATTCAGAATCAGAAATGTTCAAATCAGATTTATATTATTCTCTAAGTAAGTCTTTTTTGATATAATATTTAAATTGCTGATCTCAACTTTTATTCAATGAGTTTCCTGCATATAAATTTTTGGTTATTAATAATATAGTTTTCGGTGCAACAAAAGGCCGCAACAACCAGTAATTTTATTCCTAGCTTAAAACAGAATTTTAAGAAATAATTTGCGCCGGAGGGTTTTCATACCTAAGCAGCCTATTTGTGTAGCGTTGTTTTAAAACATGGATATAACCAATATTCTGGGGTTGTGACATAGGAATGAGCTGTTTAAAAGAAGACAGTGTCTGTAAAGCGCTTGTTTATACACAAAAGAAACAGAAGAATAGTCCAGCCATCTGGGTTCATTTTACTCTCACATTTTTGCATTTATACAAAATAAAAAAATATCCATTCTATAAGTGATTTATTCATTTTTCTCAAGTTTATACTGGGAACAATTGTCCTTTCTGTGTTTATTGTGTATATATGTGTAAGTGTGCGTGTGCGTGATTCTTATATCTTGTGTGGAAAATTTAACTTAGTTCTAGATCCTGAAAAAGATTATTACAACTATAAATTTGTTAATAATAATAAAGCTAGAAATTTTATATTACAAAATATTGATCAGCGAAATCTTGTTGATCCATTGAGAGATTTTTTTTCCAAATCTGAACAGATGCACTTGGCGTAAACCGACTCCATTCCAACAAGCACGCCTTGATGTTTTCCTGGTAACTGAAACAATTTTTCCTCGTGAGAAAATATCAATATTGAGAAAAGCTATCAGTCAGATCATTCCATTGTTATAATGAAGATAAAGTTTAATGATTTTATACACGGAAAAGGTCTATGGAAACATAATAATTCCCTTTTAAAAGATATTGAATAAAATACAGACAAAATAGTTGATATTAACAAACAGTATGCTTAACCTATATATAACCTTGACATTATAACGGAAATATGAAATAATGAAATTCAGCTTACGATAAACGATCGGTTGTTTTTAGAAACACTTTTAATGGAACTGAGAGGGTAGGCTATATCGTACAGCAGTTATCTAAAGAAAAAAGAAAGAAATGATGAAAAAAGTATAATAAATGAAATACATGAAATCGAATCAAACTTGTCAGACGATAAACTTAACCGATTGCAAGAATTGCAAAAAAATTTAAAAGAACTTAATAATATTCAAATATTCAGCTGCAAGGTTATCTTATAAGGTCAAGAGCAAAATGAACGTTAGAAGGAGAAAAATCTTCAATTTGTTTTTGCGGTTTAGAAAAACAGTTACATAACTAAGACTATACATAAGATTCAAAAAGATGATGGTAGTATTCTAAATGATCAAAAGTTAATATTAAAAGAAATTGAAGATTTTTATAGAACTCTTTTCTGCAAAAAGTCGTCATATGATGAAAATGATCATTTTTTACAATTTGTGGAAAATATAGAAGCACCGGTTTTAAGTGAATCGGAATCAAATGTATTAGAAGGCTATATAAGTTATGAAGAAGCTAGTAAAGTTTTACAAAATATGGCAAATAATAAAAGCCCGGGGACATCAGGCTTTTGTGCAGATTTTTATAACGTATTCTGGAAAGATTTAGGTCCTTTTGTGGTAAGAGCTATCAATGATGTTTATACTTCAAATAAATTGTCAGTGACCCAAACACAAGGTGTAATAACATGTATTACAAAGGAAAATAAACCTAAACAAAGCGTGAAAAGTTGGAGACCTATAACACTTCTTAATACGGTATACAAAATTGCTGCAGGTTGCATAGCAAATCGAATAAAACTTACTCTAGATAAACTAATAAATAAAGATCAAACAAAAAATGCAAGGGGGGCATTGTATGCAACAGGAAAACTGATAACCCTTTTGGTCTATACCCCTTTTTGTTATCTGGGCAGCCGCCATGTATGTTTACATATGATGACCGCCATATGAACACATCTGGGGTTGTTTCAAAATTAAATTCTAAATCTCACCAGTTCATGTTAAAGCAGCTGACCTCCAGAAGATAGCAGAAAAACCTCCGTCTTGCTTATAGTTCAAAATTCCCCCTCAAAAACATTATATAGTTAAAAGAAATCGAAATCAAAATTGTTCATATTTTAACATTATTGCTCTGAAAACAAACAGTTCGCTTTTCCACCAACGGGAAAGACCTTCTTTTATTATACCACGGAATTCTTTCATCCGGGTTTTTTTCTTGTATCACGTGGTCGTACAGGACAATATCGCGACCTGTGCTCCGGAAGGCACGGAATCCGGGATTTTATCAAACATGTAGGGATACGAATAACTGCTTTTGTTTTTATATTTGTAGTAATTCATGGCACTAAAATTATAATTGATTGATTATTTCATATAAATGATGACCAATTTATCGCTTTAACCTTAGCTTGAAATGTGATAGGGGCCTACTAAATGACGAAAATTGATAAACCATCCCGCGCATACCGGATACCGGGATATTTCCGGACCACTGTTGTGACACGTGACCGCGTTACATGAATTATCTTCTCCTATTTGTATTTGCTACTGCGTAAGTAACGTAGTAGACAAGTAAAATGGTTTCCTGCGGGGAACATTTTTTATAATATAGAGATATTTCATTTAACTATTTTCAACATTGTTTCGGGGGATAAATAACGTTTGTATCAGGAATATAGTTGACAATAATCGATCAATATAGAACAAGGTATTAAGAAGGTCGAACATAAAACAATTATTTCTTTTCAAGAAAATGATTAAATACCATTTCTGAATAATTCCGAGCAAAAAATTAAAGTAAACACATAAGTTTACGCAGAAAATATCTCTATTTGGTATGGCAGATGCCACTACGAATATTTTAATTTTGTAGATTTTCAGTATAAACAATTTATTGTTTGTAAAATTTGAGATAGATAAGAGATAGAGATAGTTTGAGATAGAAACATTGATAATTTTCAAACACATCATTCAAGTTTTTCCACCTGAAATGGTAAAATAATTATAGAAAATTAGAAATATCACGTAATAGTTTTTTGTTGTTAATAAGGTGTAATTCGAACTAATTCCCTAGATGTAAATCCGTAACGTACCGGCAAACGGTATTTAGCTAGATTTTCGAAAAGGTCAATTAACCAATCATGTGCGGTTTACAAATCACATGCTCCTCCATGTACCGAAAACAGGCCACGTGCTCCTCCATGCCTCAAAAGTTAAACGCGTACCAATACCCTGCGGTCTTCAGACCGCAGGGAATTATGGAAAAGAAAAACCCGATATATTAACGCTTTTGTCAACATTCTTTCTTGAATCAAGGTGTCAGAAATGATGAATGTATACAATAAACCTTACTAGATCAGTATAAATTTTACTGTTTACTTGAAATTTTATTTCATTTTTTCATTTTACCATCTGGAGGTCAGTGGCTTTAAATGTTGAAAATAAAATCTGGAAACAAAGTGATCCCCCGGAAGCATTAATCACAACAAAATTACATAAGAAATGTAGACTCGATTTGAGTCTGTACATGAATTCTGCTTAAGCCGATGCTAGGGAGCATAGACGGTAGCTTGCACATACCATTACCGGACATGTTAACTGTATAATCATTTACGCTTGTTATATGCATATAGTTGACATCCAAAGGAAATAAGTATGTTTCGGTTAAATAATGATTGAAAATATATGTGACAACACCGTTTAATTTAAAAAATGCCCACTGATGTACACATTTAAACAAATTCAATTTGATGTTAACAGGTGTGCATTCTGTACCTTCGGTTTCTACAACCATGATTAATAAATATATAAATAAAGTATTGCTTTCTTTTGTATCTATAAATTCACTTATTTTAGGTTGATTTTTACTTGATATATTGGAAATTAGCTTGTTAGCAACTCCCAGCATTAAATTGCTATTTGTTTACATAGCGAAGGTTAGACCAAAAAACCGTATCCGTTCTGTATATTTATTATACTATTGTGTTATATAGGTCCTTGTCCGAAGACTGACGGAAAAGGCCGAATAGTTGCGATTGGAAAAACAAAACGCCTTTTAAGACATTCCCATTCCGAGTTAAGAGCAATATGTTATTGAAAAAGATCCTGAATTGTGTGTGATATAATTTTTTATGTTAAATCATATTTTAATGAAATCAAATCATATATATGACAAATTTTATAATAAAGCGAATTAACATCTTGTCGAACAATTCCCGTAATTGGGGAGAAAAGTGTCCGATAGAAACGTGTCCGATTTTAATATGAGGAAGAAATACACCTAATATGTTAAAGATCCTGGAAGTTGTAATTAAGATTGTTACCTGACTTAAGTGAAATTTTGGATATGTATATAGTTATGCTTCTTAAACATTTTTCAAACATCGAAGAATATGTAAAATATGTACTGCAAATATGTGTTCATGTCACAGGTGTACCAATTTACCTTTATCATCCCTATATCCCAAATATACTAATACTCTAAATTTCAGCAGTATGCATTGTAAATTTAAATCGACTACTCAACGTGATTTACAAGAACGCTATCTTTTCACCTTTCCTCTTTACTATTCCTTTGTTATTAAATGATTTTCTATGCCGAATATATGTTTGACCAATAGGGTCAATTAAACAATATATTTTTGAAAGAAAATAAGATTGTACTGTGCATGTTTGGTTTTTATAACCAATTAAATCATTTAAATTAATTACAATAAAAGGGATATATTTTGCTAAAGGTAATTCTCTTCATATGTTGCATTTGTAAATTGCTTACAACTAATGTTTATAGACTTATATTATTTTAGTTCTAAGATCATTTCTTAGAATATATTTTTCTTTGTGTAATATGATGTCGGCCATTTTGTACATGTATGTTTACATTATTTAAATGCAATAGAATTAAAAAAATATATTTTTGAAAGAAAATAAGATTGTACTGTGTACGTTTGGTTTTTATAACCTTAACTAAAATCATTTAAATTTATTACAATAAAAGGGATATATTTTGCTACAGCCGGAAGTTGTTTTGATCCGTCATCTCCTGACCCTAAATATATGAACCCGGTCCAGTGCCCTAGACTAAAGAGGGAGGTATGGCGCCTCGGAAACATCCATTAAATTATTAAAATATATGCATTCATTTCTTTCTTGGACTTTATAGAAAATAAATTTCTAATTTACTCTCTCTATTAACATGAAATATAAATCGGTAATATCTTTACAAATAATACTTTTGGAACTTACTATATTGATAAATCTTCATTTGAGCATTATATCCATACAAATTAAGTTACAGGATCTTTAAGTTTTAGTTTATGAATAAGTTGTGTACTGTTATTAAGAATGAAAACTAATTCAAAACTATTCTGTGAAAAAACTGCCCATTTCAATAGCAACAGTATTATTCCTTTTACATACCTGTCGAATATACACGCTTATCTATCATCCCACTTCAAAAGTTTGTCAAGTATTAAGAGCAACGTGATTTATCATTCGTGGTAATGATCTGGCATCACGTGACTAATTCTTGTTATGTTATAAATAAATAGAAATGTTTGGAAGGAAAAGTACATATTTCAATATGTATTCAAGGTTTATGTTATTCTTAATCAAAACAAATATGAATAAGAAAGTTATTTATTACACTTGAAATCAGTTTATGTAACAGTTTTTATTCTTACTTTCAACGGATAATTGTGCTGATTTAAGACCATATGTTTCGTAGTCAACAAGGTTTTTGTTATTCTATAGGATTGTTGATGCAACTTGATGCAACAGTTTGAATGTTTACTTTATTTATTTCACGCCTTATGAATAAAATATAACATGTATGACCAATGAACATTACCAGTACACTTTCAGTGTTCCAGTAGAAATAATTGTTTGGTCCAATCGTATTAATTTAGCCTCGTTTTCATCCCCAGAGCAGAATAAGTCCATACCAAATCCGTATCACACCCCATTTATCTTCGTGTTCCTTTTCAGAGTCCAAATCTTTTTGCACCCCACTTGCTCTCGTTCTCATATTTTGAGAGTCATTAATCCATATCAAATCCGTATTGTAATTAAAGTAACAATCTGAAAGTTAAGTCAAAATGTCAATAAAACCGTGGTGTGAAATAAAGAGGTGGTCATTTGACGTGATTGAGAACAATCCTGATCCAATTGGACTCATACACAAATGCTAAAATATGATTAACAAGATCAACAAGTAAAGGCGGCGTTCAATGAACGCAACCCCCACACTACTCAGCAACAAGAACCAGTGGCAAGGAGCCCAGGCGGACCCAAACAAAAACAGAACACAAGACATAGCACGGACAGGCTAATCACTAAAATGCAGATAATTTGCAACCGATACGAAATTCAAAGAAAACAAACAAACGATTGAAAAATAGGCCCACAAAGTCAAAGGGCACAGGGGAAGGGTACAGGAAACCGGGGGAAGGGGTATACCCCTTTATTTCGTCCGATATAGTTTTTACATCTGGTTGTGTACTCGTCAAATATTGGACTAAACAATGTATTATAACCTCATACAATATCAGAATTATGTTGAAGACTGTGATATACTTGTACCCTGTGTTTTATAGAGACATATATCTACTTTGTAAACTATTGTCTTCGGTAAGAGTAAGGTATATTGATATATTAACCTAGTATTCTAGTGCACTTGCATTCATAAATTGTTATTTCAAAATAAAGAATGTATTTAAGGCAATAATGAGCTTCTAAATTTATAAAACATGACATGATGGGAATAAAAAGTAATCTTTGTTTAAATGAGGTTAATGTTTAATTTAAAGTTGGTCCAGAGCAATAACTTGTGTGTAAAATTTCAGATTTTTTGGTAAATCCATTTTTCAAGAATAATTATCCTTATTGCCCATCCAAATTATATTAAGGAATTGCGACTTAATATATTGAAGGTTTGACATGGACAGACCCGTGAAAAGCTCTTAGTAGAATTATTTTGCATACTGTTGTCGTTTACGGAATATAATTTTGAGAAACATTAACTTATTATTCTATTATTAAAGTACATTTAATAATAAAAATACTTAACCTTTATGTTGGTTAACAATATGCCCAAGTGATAAAGAAATATAGTGGAGAAATCTCTGAGCATAAAACAAGTAACTAATTTGAAGTAAACTAATAAATACAGGTAAAGCGTTCACGACTTTTAATTTTAACTACGACCAAAGCAATAATATTAATATTGAATATTAATAAACCATCATTTTTTTCAACTAAACAAGTACATTAAATTAAATTCAATCAAGGCCGATGAAATAGTTATATGTGTCTGGTACTTTGGGTGAAACTTTTTTGTCAAATAACCATGTAGGACTCTCGTCATATCCAAATAACAAACAGTCTTCTCTGACAAAAGTTTTCAATCGTTCTAAATATCTCAAAGGAACGGTAGAATATGCCTGTACCATCGCTTCATGTTTTTGAGCTTTAACTGTTGTAGTATTATACACAACCGACATTTGTTTAGCTTTTTCTAGTTCCTGTATAAAATCATCGTGGTTAATACTCATATTCTTGGAAAATGGCATGTCAACATGTTTAGATATGACTGCTGTTATTTGGAAGTACCTCCACGCCCTTTGGTAAAGGGTAAATATCTCAATATGTGATCCATTTATCTTCTTCAGGGTTAAGTTAAAATATTTCATTGCTGAAAATAAATTTGTCTTTTTTCCTAGATCTTCCCGAGATTTCTTAATAATATTTCGGTTGTTCCATTCATTTTTCAGATAAGCAAAGTCTGATGACATTGTTTCTAATTTACCAATAAAATCAAAGTCATATCTACAAGGATTGCACGTGGCAGCCATTGGTCTGATATGTACGTCCATTTTGTAACCAACTTCAAATTCTTCCACAACATATCGTATAAACTCAGAAAACTTTACATCGTGGCCGAATTCTAGACTGTCCTTTGATGGATTCTCTCTAAATTTTCTTGCGATAGTGGTACCTATTGGATGCCAATATCCTTTTGGGAAATAAAACTTATTTGAATATGTAGAAAATAATCGACCATATGGTTCTCTCACAAAGAGAAACTTGTAAGAATTTCTAATTGCGACTTTTTTCCTTTGATACGGCAACGCCCCGATTCTTTTTGAAGAATTTCTTAAACAATCGTTATCGCAATGAAATATTTTGTTAAGAGTGTCCATCGTATATGTGGAGCCTGCTTTACTTACTCGACAATATAGTATTGTTTGATTAGGCGTCATTAATGCCCTAAGTATACTTTTACGTAACTTCCCGTGCATGTATCTTTCGTTTCTGGTGAGGTTTTTGATTGAAAAGTAACACTGCTGTTCTAGAAATTTCTTTCTTCTGGCATTTCTTGCTTGAATTTCTTCAAAGTCATAAACCTACAAAAAAAGAAAGAATGTGTTTGGAGATAATCTACATCACTGCAGTATTTCAAAGATTAACCCCAGTTCTATTGAATGTGCCCAGCTCCTAATTTGACACAATATATTAAAAGGAAAGCGACATACACCGGCATGTAGGTAGGTAAGTAGTTCGGTCGGTCAGTCGGTTGGTAGAATCCGTCAATTTTATTCTAACATGATAATGGTTTAAAGAACAACAAGAATGTTTATTAAATGCTAATATTTAACTTCTTCTACAGGCGCTTGATACAAATAATGTCACATTTCTTTCAAATTAAACATTAAGTAACTCACTTCCGATTTTTTTCCAGACGGTTACAACTTGTTTAGCAACTCCTATAGGCTAACAGATATTAAAACTTATTTTCACAATAACAAGGTATTATGACGGTATAAGGTTTATTAAATATATTTTTTATGGAAAGCGATATGGGACCCTTCCGCCGTTACTATATAATTCAATGTAAATTTCTAATGGCGGAATTATTGACGTGTATGATTCTTACCTTCAGAGGAAAGATCAAGACAAAAGATTTGATATTAAAATAATCTGCCTTTGTTATGAATGAATTACCAATGTAGTTAACACATAAAGTTGAGAAAAAAAGAACCCATAACGACAAAAATGATAGTGCTGCACACTATGTTTGATTGCGCCTATTCATAGACGGTATTTGAAAGTGCAAGCTGCCATCTATACTCCATAGCACCGGATTTAGCAGAACTTTAAGTTAAACATGTTACGGTAAACTTTTGAATTTAGAACTATACACAGATGTGTTCATAAAAGTTAATATGATTTGAATTGAACACAGAACTGGATTATTTTTGTATCCGACCAATTTGATTCTTATTTACAATGGTGTCAGAGAAAACTATAGGCCTCAACAGACGGTAGGATTTTGAAGTACAGCACCAATACAAACAAATCTTAATGTGTGACGGCTACTTCTTCTTGAATTCGAACAACTTAATACTAATTATTCAGGAAAGAACATGTTTTTAATTCTTGTTGTATATACCGCGATAATAGAGAAGAGTTACTTCCCTTACCGGATGTGACGGTAATGCATACATAAATTCACTATCAAGACAATAAAATGAATACAAGAACAAAAATTGAGATTAATTCTCGCAGCGGGATTTCAAAGTGAATATATTGATTAGATTTTCTCTAATACTAGGATAAAAATCTAGTATCTAAATCAAATTTTATTATTTTATAAACACCCATACACACTGAAATTACCTAAAATATATTTAAATGGTCATTTTCTAGTTTTCTGTGTGATTTTCTGTCATTTAGAAAGTTCCGGCGTATTTGTGACAAACATGAAAATAAGATTGCCATTTTTTTAATGATTTTTTTTCAAGCTTTAATAGAACAACAGCAGAATGCATTCCGTCAATACTTACTGATTCTTTTTCTATATGCCATAAAAAATCTTTCAAAGGACCGATGAAGGATATAATTTTATTAATATTCCTGAAAGAACGAAAACCATGAGGCAATGACATTTATAACTTTTGATTCGCAACAGACGATAATAAGATAATTCTGATATAACAAATCTATTTTTCACACCGTATTACCGGCTGCAGTGATGGCAGATCACTGCAGTGATGGCAGATAGCTGAAATTACCGCTCGGTACAGGTAGGTTATAAATTTGGTTGGTATTATTATATTACACAAATACGGCCTATTTCATTGCTATGAAACTATTGTCCATTGACTGAAGATACTATTAGGTAATTTTGGACTCGTTTTTTCCTGTTTTTAGACTATTTTGAGCAGGTTAAAAAGTGACAGCTTCGGAAAAATCCGTGAAAATGTCTGTTTTTTGTTCAAAATATCTCAAGTTTGAACTAAATGGCAGGATTCGTGTTATTAATAAAGACGTTTATCCATTGGGGTCACGCAAGCCAAATATCTATCCCGTGAGTCTTTTCTTGAAAATTTTACAGACGTTCAATCTGCTCCGAACGAAGAAAAAAATGCTGCTGTTGTAGGCAGATACTTATTTTAAATGCTGCCGTCGATGGCAGAAATACCATGAAAGTGGCTAACATTCTGACAGAAAATCAAGGTCAATATTTTATCAATTCCTCTATTCTTTGCGCCTTTTTAGTCGGAATTGAGACGTTAAACTATCATTTCTTATATTTTCTCAAGATAGAAAAGTTATTAATGCGGTATATGCATCGAAAAATATTTTTAGCACCAAGCAGATACAATACAAAATGTGATGATTCTGTGCGACCAAATAGCACTATAAATAGAGCAATTAAGATGAAAAAATTCAATTTTCTATATTCATGCATGTGTGCTTGATCTGCTGTGTCTGTCAGTTACATGCATACAATACCATATGTATCTTAAGTTTTGACCAGTTTATGTGTTAAATTTGCCATATTTTCAATTTTTCAGACTGCAACAAGAATTTTCAACATAGCAAGAAAAGAAAAAGACGTGCATAATCCTCATACTGCCATGTATGCATATATCAAGTTTCATTGAAATATTTTCAGTATTATTTAAGTTATCACTGGATCCAGTTTATGTGTTAAATTTGCCTTATTTTTAGACTATTTGTTGCCATAGCAACCAGAATTTTCAACATAGGAAGAAAATAAAAAGAAGTGCATAATCTCCATACTGCCATCCATGCATATATCAAGTTTCATTAAAATATTTTCAGTACTTTTTGAGTTATCACTGGATCCAGTTTATGTGTTAAATTTACCATATTTTCAGACTATTAGTTGCCATAGCAACCAGAATTTTCAACATAGGAAGAAAAGAAAATAACGTGCATAATCTCCATACTGCCATCTACCCATATATCAAGTTTCATAAAAATATTTTCAGTACTTTTTGCGTTATCGCGGGATCCAGCTTTGTGGACGGACGGACTGACGGACTGACAGACAGACGGACGTTCTAACAGGAGAGTAATTATGTGGCAACTCTATTGTTGTCTCTATTGTTCTTCTTAGCCACACAAAAGAAAATAGCCACATAAAAGCATTACGGAATGAATGACATCAAAGAGAAAGAACAGTTACCTATTGTCCCTCTAGCCACATAATTATTGTCCTGTGAGTGCGGACAGACTGACAGACGGACAGACAGACGGACGGAGGGTAAACCTAAAGTCCCCTCCGGTTAAACCGGTAGGGACTAATAAGTTACTAAATCGAGGTAATAACGGGAAGATTATTATGCCCCCACCTCGAAGAAGAGGGGGTATATTGCTTTGCACTTGTCGGTCCGTCAGTCCGTCGGTCCGTAGACCAAATGGTTTCCTAGTGATAACTAAAGAACCCTTAGGCCTAGGAACTTCAAACTTGGTATGATGATTGGTCATGACCAGTAGATGGCCCCTATTGATTTTGGGGTCAAGAGGTTAAAGGTCAAGGTCACATTGACCTTGTAAGCAAAAATGGTTTCCGATCAATAACTAAAGAACATTAAGGCCTAGGAACTTCAAACTTGGTATGGTGATTGGTCATGACCAGTAGATGACCCCTATTGATTTTGGGGTCACAGGGTCAAAGGTCAAGGTCACATTGACCTCTTAGATAAAAACAGTTTCCGATCAATAATTACAGAACCCTTAGGCCTAGGAACTTCAAACTTGGTATGGTGATTGGTTATTACCAGTAGATGACCCCTATTGATTTTGGGGTCAAGGGGTCAAGGTCACATTGACCTTGTAGGTAAAAACGGTTACCGATCAATAACTAAAGAACCTTTAGGCCTAGGGACTTCAAACTTGATATGGTGATTGGTCATGATCAGAAAATGACCCCTATTGATTTTAGAATCAAGGGGTCAAAGGTCAAGGTCACATTGACCTTGTAAGCAAAAACGGTTTCCGATCAATAACTAAAGAACCTTAAGGCCTAGGAACTTCAAACATTGTATGGTGATTGGTTATGGCCAGCAGATGACCCCTATTGATTTTTGGATCAAGGGGTCAAAGGTCAAGGTCACATTGACCTTGTAAGTAAAAACGGTTTCCGATCAATAACTAAAGAACCTTAGGCCTAGGATCTTCAATCTTGATATGGTGATTGATCATGATCAGAAGATGACCCCTATTGACTTTGGGGTCAAGGGGTCAAAGATCAAGGTCACATTACCTCTTAGGTAAAAACGGTTTCCGATCAATAACTAAAGAACGCTTAGGCCTAGAAACTTTAAACTTGGTATGGTGATTTGTCATTGCCAGCAGATAACCCCTATTGATTTTGGGGTCAAGGGGTCCAAGGTCAAGGTCACATTGACCTTGTAGGTAAAAACGGTTTCCGATCAATAACTAAAGAACGCTGAGGCCTAGGAACTTCAAACTTTGTATGATGATTGGTCATGACCAGTAGATGACCCCTATTGATTTTGGGGTCAAGGGGTCAATGTCATATTGACCTTGTACTTAATGACGGTTTCTGACCAATAACTCAACAACTCAAGTTGCCTTGGTTGATATTTTATATTAAACTAAAAATGCTTTTGGTATACACATTTGAAGGTCTTATGTAATATAACAACTTGCCTGTCATTAATGAGGCCTACATGATTCATAACATTTATGCATATATTATTTGGTAAGATTTGTAATAACTTAAATTGCTGCACACAACCTATGGGGCCAAAATAATTATTACCTTGTGACTAGTCATGACCAGTAGATACTAGATAACCCTTATTGTTTGTTCACTGGGTCAGAAGTCATGCATAATAACCTGATCACACGACTAATTGGCTGCCGATAGGGGGCATACATGTTTTACAAACATATCTTGTTAACCTTGCAACTGAACATCAGTGTATCATACAACAATTATGTTCCGGTAATGTAAAATAGACATTTAGATAATATTATCGACAGTTCAAATATTTTTCTATATCATCAAAATCTTGAAAAACACGACAACGTTGATTCATTTCTTTAAATTTTCATGTTTGAAACCGCGTTGTAGTTTGCCTTTGAGTTACATTTACTATGCTAAAATATTAACAACAGTACTAACAATAAGTTGGACATACAACGCGATTTCAAACATGAAAATTTAAAAAAAAAAATTAATTTTAATATAGGAAAATATTTGAACTGTCGATAATATTATCTTAATCTCCATTTAACATTTACATACATTGTTTTATGATACACTGATGTTCACAGATCTTGTCAGTTGCAAGGTTAACAGTCTTCCCTTTATTACCTCGATTTAGTAACTTATATTCTGCAGCATTAGCGCCGACTAAGTCAATTTCAGATTTAATATGTCATAAAGCGATGAACATTATTACCTCGAGAAAATAATGCCATATGAAAGCAAATAAATATCCACTTACTGAAACTACACCTGTAATATGCAAATGGCGTTATGTCTTGAAAATGCAGTGAATTATGCGCTGCTAAACTAAAGATACATATGGTATTGTATGTGTGTAACTGACAGACACAACAGATCAAGCACACATGCATGAATATAGATAAATGAATTTCTTCATCTTAATTGCTCTATTCATAGTGCAATTTGGTCGTACTGAATCATCACATTTTGTATTGTATCTGCGTGTTGCTAAAAATCTTTTTCGATGCACATACCGGATTAATAACTTTTCTTTCTTAAAAAAATATTAGAAATGATAGTTTAACGTCTCAATTCCGACTAAAAGGGCGCTAAGAATAGAGAAATTGATAAAATATTGACCTTGATTTTCTGTCAGAATGTTAGCCACTTTCATGGTATTTCTGCCATCGACGGCAGCATTTAAAATAAATATCTGCCTACAACGGTAGCATTTTTTCTTCCACCGGACCAGATTGAACGTCTGTAAAACTGTCAAGAAAAGACTCACGGGATAGATATTTGGCTTGCGTGACCCCAATGGATGAACGTCTACATTAATAACACGAAATCCTGCCATTTAGTTCAAACTTGAGATATTTTGAACAAAAAACAGACATTTTCACGGATTTTTCCGAAGCTGTCACTTTTTAACCTGCTCAAAATAGTCTAAAAAAGGAAAAACGAGTCCAAAATTACCTAATAGTATCTCCAGTCAATGGGCAATAGTTTCATAGCAATGAAATGGGCCGTACTTGTGTAATATAATAATACCAACCAAATTTATAACCTACCTGTACTTAGCGGTAAATTTCAGCTATCTGCATCACTGCAGTGATCTGCCATCACTGCCGCCGGTAATACGGTGTGTTTTATATGATTATAAAAATTAAGACCTTTTCCCAGTAACTTATTTCTTAAATAAATAGATGTGTATATATATAAGCCACTTGGCTGTAACATATTAATTAACAGAATGCATTGTGGCACTTGGCTGTGATATCATAAATCACCAGGGCGCATATTTTAGAGTTATAACATTATATCAGATAACGTCACCTTTGTTAGTTGTCAAAATATTTATGGTTCGAATATGGATCATCCTTGGGTCTTTATTGGTCATGCCTTACTGATTTGATACTCCAGAATGACGATCAACTGGCAGTCAAAAGTACGAAAAAAATATTCAGTTAATAACGAATTCCTGTTTACTGTCTCACAACTTGTTTTTTTAGTGAATTTTATAAACAAAATATTTGATAAGCAGAGTATGAATTAAATAAAAGTATCAAGTTGAAAATATTTCTTTACCAGCTTTAATATATTGGCGAGATGTGCGATCTTTTAAGAGTGCCTTTTTTGCCGACACAAATAGTATAAAGTCTTGTACATTCAAAATAATTTTTACTTTTTATGCCTTAACATTTTTTTTTGAAATTACATAGATTCATATCTTATACTGTATTACTTTCTCTTAGTAATGCCTAAATCAAAATAATTTTTAATCAACCAGTATCTTGCAATTAATTATTACGCAGCCGTTTTTCGAAACAACAGAATACTTACATTTTTGAATTTCAAAATATCTCTTGGGTATTGTATATTAGCAGATATCTACATCTCTGGAATTAGCAAGTTAGTACGATTTAACTGCCTGGTTAAACACGGTGCGACAATTTTCATTATTTAGAATCAAACGAAAATGGTAACCATGATCAATTATCCAGCCATATTGTCTAGTTTAAAACAAATCGTTAACCTTATTATAGTAAACATTTTTATTCATTTGACCTTTCCTTTTTGTAGTATCTTATTCAATTACACAAAATTTTGGCAATTTCAATCTGCTAATCTTACAAGAGAAAGGATTAAGATCTTTATATCCCTCTATAATTGTACTTAATCGTATCGGCAATGTCCACCGTATCCCCCAATGACGTCATCCAAGGGCGACAACTTGAATCCAGTCTTAAATGAAAGGGTCTATAGACCTCCCACACTAACGGGTGACAGATTCCCCAATTAATTCGTAATAATATGTTTAATGAATAAAATTCCTGAATAATTAGGGCTAAAATGTAAACATAGTAGTAAGATGATGTAAAAGGGATGTTAAAAACTCTTGGGTAGCCCCCAAGTTGTGGTATGTTCGAATCCCAAATTACACACAAAATGGTTATAGACTAAATTTGTTGTAAATTTTGTTGAGACAATTTTGAAATGGAAAGAAATAAATAAAAAAATACAAAAAATGTAAATAAATAAATAAATAAATAAATAGAAAATGATAATAATAATGAAAATAATAATAATAATAATAATAATAAAATAATTAAAGAAATAATGATATTAAAATCATAATAATAATAATAATAACAACAACAACAACAACAACAACAACAACAACAACAATAATAATAATAATAATAATAAAAGTAAATATCAACACCCCCAACCCCCACCCAAAAAATAAATAAATAAATAATTAAAAAGATAAGAATAAATTAAATACAACAACAAAACGAATTCATGAAATATAATGATAATACAGATATTCTTACCTCTTGGTGCACTGTTGTCATGTTGTGTCTTGTTATGCTCCGGTTGCTGTCATCATAATGTTTAATTGAATCTGATATGAAAGAAAATATTATTATAAAAGTTACTGCTATGTATTTTTAATTTAGTTGGTTGAATCAAAAGTCACAGCTATATAAACTAGACATTGATATCGCCATATCTTACTGTATCCCCCGGGCCATAACACATAATCGAACCCTAATGCAATAGACAAGATTTTGACAAACACTGTTTTACTATGCAATGATAAAACTCTAATTAACATCTATTTTTGAGAGTTTTGACACAGTTTTAACTATCTAGAAATAATTGTGTGCATTTTGTGATTTTCGCTCTTTTAGGAAATATACAAACACATTTTCTTCATAAAATATGTTTAAACTATTCTTTTTGAAACAACTCAAATATTAATTTTGTAAGCTGCAAGCAACAGATAGTTGGCTTAATAGATATTAATTATCACTGATTGACAGAAATAAAAGAAATACACACCGTTTGTAGTAGAGAAGTATATCACTACAACATATCCCATCAGAATAAGGAAGAACAGCGATCTGTATTTTTTAATTCGTGCTCCATGTTCCATTTTAAAAATTTCAAAATTCGACTTCCAGTTATTGCCTTTTTTCATATAAGATTTACTTAAAAACCAAAATGCGGTCGTATTGTAGTTTTGTATAAGCTTAACGTACGTACGTATCATTTTGAAAGATTAATAAAACTACATTTACACTTGTAGTTGATCCCTGACATTTAGTCGGTTCACTCTTTTTAATAAATACACTGTACAAGTAGCTTGTGTCCACGCGCCTTATTAAAGTGTTTGTTTATCAGCTTTTCAATAACAATACAATTTCAGTGTACTTAAACCACATTTGTACATAATTTTTATTTGGTTAAAGTTTAGACATAGAAAATAAAAGAAGCCTAAAATGTGTTTTTTTAAACGTAGAAAAGATCAAACAGAATGAAAACTGGTTTATAGAATAAAAATAAATTCTAGTGCAGAAGAACGAAAATAGTGTCCCTAATTTTGCTCTTTTTTATTTATTTTTTTCCGCCACCACATCACTATCCTGACTTTATCTTTGTGTAATTTAAAGTTATAAACAATTATGAAATATATCATACTTTAGATACAATGTATTTTGCATGAACTTAATAAAAGTTTCACGCGCTAATTTCATTTATTTTTGTTTACTTGAAAATACATTTTGTTAAATCTTCATGCAATTCTTTTGATATTTACTGAATTTATTTCTGGCTTGCTGTCTTTAGCTTACATGAATCATGTATGTAAAATGAGCCGCGTCACGACAAAACCAACAATGGGTTTGCGACCAGCATGGATCCAGACCAGCATGCGCATCCGAGCAGTCTGATCAGGATCCATGCTGTTCGCTTACAAACCCTATAACAAGTAGAGAAACTGATAGCGAACAACATGGATCCTGATCAGACTGCGCGGATGCACAGGCTGGTCTTGATCCATGCTGGTCGCAAACCCATTATGTTGGTTTTGTCATGACGTGGCTCAAATAATCTTTACATTACGTAAAACTGATACATTACATTATATAAGAACTCTTTGCAAGCGTCATTGCAGGACATTTTAGGCTTAGCAAAGGCATCATTACGGTGGCACAAATGTGACATGTGTGTGTTTTTATTTATCTCGTGGCCACGAGATACTATGTCGTGGCCACGAGTTACTAAGTCGTGGCCACGAGTTACTAAGTCGTGGCCACGAGATAGCTAAGTCGTGGCCACGAGATACTATGTCGTGGCCACGAGTTACTAAGTCGTGGCCACGAGTTACTAAGTCGTGGCCACGAGATAGCTAAGTCGTGGCCACGAGATACTATGTCGTGGCCACGAGTTACTAAGTCGTGGCCACGAGATAGCTAAGTCGTGGCCACGAGATAATTAACCAATCAGAATACACTATATATATTATGAATTTTTAAACTTAACAACTTACTTTTACATGCAACATTAATCTTTGAAAATACTGAAGATATTCACTTTGAACTTGTCTTTAGGATCATATTAGAAAGTCACCTTCCAAGGCCCATCAGACATTAATTTTGACTATAGCTCTTTGTTGGGACAATTTTGTGATCGAATTGGTCAGTTTGTACGTACTACGGCCTGTTAACCTTGTTTATACGATAACATGAGAAGGAATAAGTCCTGGTTTATTTTATTTGGAAGGGACATTGCCCATGGACAGTAGATAGCCTATAAGGTAAAATCCTTGTCTGATGAATAATTTAGAAGGGATAAGCCATGGTTTATATAACCCAGAAAGATCATTGCACCTGATCAGTAGATGACATCTAATAATTTCGAGGTCATTGGGTCAAAAATCAGGGTCACAGTGACGCTAAATGTAAAATTATTGACCAGTCAATAAGTTGTATAAATGGCACTTTTACAGGCTGGTGAAGTAGGGGCATCCTTGTACTATAGCACATGTCTAGTTAATTAGGGAAATTCATATAAATGGTGTAATCTGATTGGTTATTTATCTCGTGGCCACGACTTAGTAACTCGTGGCCACGACTTAGTAACTCGTGGCCACGACATAGTATCTCGTGGCCACGACTTAGCTATCTCGTGGCCACGACTTAGTAACTCGTGGCCACGACATAGTATCTCGTGGCCACGACTTAGCTATCTCGTGGGCACGACTTACTAACTCGTGGCCACGACATAGTGTCTCGTGGCCACGACTTAGCTATCTCGTGGCCACGACTTAGCTATCTCGTGGCCACGACTTAGTAAATCGTGGCCACGAGATAAATAAAAACACACACATGTCACCTTTGTGCCACCGTACATCATCAATCTAAAGAAAATCTCAAATATTAATATTCACTACAGTGTTGGAGAACTACCTTTAGACGCTTGCAGAAATCATGATCACAATGTAGAAAAATATCACTTTTTTCACCGATTCTTACATTTTATATTCATTCATAAATAAATGAATTAGACATTTTAAAGTTCATTCCGACGGGGGAAAAGGCGAGATTTTAGCATATAATCATTCAAGCGCCTTGTCCGGTATGTACCGGAATGCGGTATTTAGAAGGCTGCTCCAACACCTTTTTTAGTCTCATTCAATATTAAATAGTACTTTAGATACATATGCAAACTTTGCTTACAGAGATCTGTGTATGTAAAGAAATAAGATCTTCTGTTGGTTTACATTCTGTTTTAATCTTTAGTTAACTTTGGCATTTTAACTGATATCTGCACACATTGTAATAAGCCTTTTGTTATATATGAAAGTTATTTGGAAAGTAACAAAACAAAGAATATAAAAACCAAACAACTTTTATTGTTTATATGTAACACCAGATTTAAGGGGTTTTGATCAACGTAGCTATCTTTAAAATTTAAAGCCATATGAAGACGCCTGTTAATGTTTACCAGTTATCATTATATTTTTATTTAAATTTTGGACTTTGCTTATATCGGTGCTAGGAGGGGGGGGGGGGGGGGGGTGGCGTGAACGGTATATTGCATGGACTTTCCGCTGCGTGCCATGAATAGGCTCAACCACGTTGGATCTGCTACATTTTCATTTTTTTCCATTTTTTTTTGTCTTTTAGGTTTCAGGTCTATCTTTTTGTTATTTGGATGCCCTTTAAAAATAAAAGTAAAAAGTGTTTTATGCGAATGGGCATCTCTAAGGATTTTATAGGCATATTGCTTTAAGCTCGCAATAACGTGATTGACATACTTTTCAATCAGTTATTGGAATGAAAATGATGTTAAGTTGACTACTTTTGTTCATTGATATAAAGTGATTTTAAATAATAAGAAAACATAATAATTCTATAATTCGTAATTTATTCTTTAATTTTGATAATTCTATTCTAAAGATATCAATTCTATTTTGCTGATTATTCTTTGATGATCAAAATGTTTCTTTTTACAATCTTTTGTTTCTTTTATTTTGAAATTGCAACATTTAATGTTTTTCACTGCATGGCAAAAACAACAACAAAATAACAAAAACAGTTCTGAAGCAATGTGCGAAGAACTCGTTTCATATTCAAAAATTTAAATTAGTTTTCGGATGAGATGCAATTCTTCATGCTCATATTACAAATTAATGGAACAGCGGGTTGTTTCAGAATTTAATTAGATTTTTCATCTGCTCACTAACCAATCAAGACCAAATATATTTTATTTGCATATGTTAATAAAGCCTTTCTGACGTGTTTGACAGCCTTTGTATAAATTAAAACATGCAAAAAACGGAATTGTGAGACGATGTGTGCATTTGCAGATTCATTTATTTTTTGTGATATTATTGAAAATAGAGAACTTTTAAAATATCCTTTAATGGTGTACAGACTATTACAAGTCTTATTTAACGAATGTGTAGGAGGTAATTTAACACAGTTTCTGAAAATAAAAATGATTTGTTCGGAATCAATCTGATTTTACCTTCCTTTGTTTCCTTTTACTGACGGCGATTTTTTTTTGTAGGAACACATTGATTAGAAAATCTTTCAAACAGATACAATGTATTATTCTGAAACAGCGCTTGTTATCTCAATAAACTGTGCTCTGTGCGAATACTTTGTTTTCAGATTTTTTTCTTAGACTAAACGTTATAGACCCTTTCATTTAAAAACGGTTTTAAGTTGTCGCCCTTGGATGACGTCATTATTTTTAGATGTGACGACACATGAAGGTATTTTGTAAAAAAGATTAAGTAAAACTATAATTTATCATACAAAAATATTATATGCGTGTACCATTGATCTTTTTAAAAAAAATATTTTTATCAATAATCGCGTCTTTATTTGCATGTGTCATAGGTGGTGGTGGTATTGGTAGTTTTCACTCCGGATCACGGCAGTAAGCCACATTGAATTCACCAGAGCACAGTTCAACCAACGCATTGTTCCTGGGCAGTTTAACAGTAATTGTTGCCTTCATTTTCGCAATGACCTGAAACTTCTGTACATGTAGAAAGGAT